GCAGGTTTTGACCGGAGGCTTAGTTCACTACAAGAGCATTAATTACAAACACACACACGGACATAATTGATGCAGGGGCACGTCACATGCAGTAAATGATTTAGTAACATTTCACCCAGCTGCTGCTTGTTGTCTCATTGAGAGAGTTTGTGAGCATGTTCTGTGTTGTTGAAACTGTTTGATGTGAAGAAGATTTACTTTGGCTCAGAACATCAAATAAACCAGTCCTGCTCTGAGGAAATGTCCACTGAAGAACCATCGTTTAAATCTCTCCACAGCTTTTTCACCACTCTTGAACTACAAGATCTGGTCAACGAGGTTCCTTTGGGAGCTGCTGCATCTAAATACAACTGCAGCCGTGGGCAGCTACAGTCTCTCCAGCAGTCTGCTTCCACATATGCAGCTACTTACTTCTGAGTGTTGTCTTGTGTGGTTGCACAAAGCACATGTTTCAGAAATCAGCAGCATTACACTGTTTAATATTCTGGGTTTAAACTCTGAACATGAATACAGTAAATGAGGAGAACAGTAACTCCAGAATTAGGAATGATTGTGTCATGTATTCTAGATGTCAAGTTGCTGTAAGATGGTTCATTATGTCTTAGTGTCAGAAGCAGCTTGGATATCAACCTGTGGCTCACATGCAGTTTCTCTGGATCAACATCTTATCAACACAGTCTTATTTGTCTCAGTACCAGACCAGGCTGAGCTTTGGAGTCCAGAGGGAACTCGTCGATCTCGTCAGAGTTTCTCTTCTGAACTCGACTCGAGCCAGAGCGCTCTACGCCCAAGGCCTCTGCACTGTGGCTGAACTAGCCCGGGCCTCTGTAGCTGATGTGGAGAAAGCTTTGCTGAATGCGGTCCCATTCAAGAGGTCGGTGTGCACACATTTGTGTTTATTCCAGTAAAATTTACTGTCATGATAAAGAGAACCAGAATGTCAATCCATAAAAGAACCGTCAGTACAAACACACCTTAGCAAACAGAAAAATAGAGATTTGACTGTCAAACCCAAACTGATTTATCTCCTGGAGCTTAGTACTATTATTATAAATAATCATGTGTCACCCTCTGAAAGTGCCTCTTGTCCAATAACAAGATAAAAAGAATAAACTGTGATTTAGTGTTTATATACTACTGGGAAATATGGTGCATAATGGATGAGAGTGAGCACAGTTCAGTTTGATTTGATACAGTTTAAAACTTCAACAATTACAGCTGTTTAGTCTCATTCTAGTTCTATGTTTTTAAACTGTGCAAAGAGGAGATATTTAACTTTCAACACTCCCAAAGTCAGTCGCATCAATTTCCAAGCATGTATTGACTTCTGCTGTCAACAGGAGACCATGAGGTTTTTATTGACGCGTTGCCATTATTGAAATATTACGGTATATAGAAAGAACATTATTCTTAGTTTGAAGATTGTGTATTGAACCGTTTCGGTACGGCACGTTCGGTTCGGTCCACGTGTGTACCGTTTCGGTTATTTAATCATTAATTAAATTTTATTAACGAGAGAATACGCGCAGCGGAACTAAAGTTCCTAAGCGTGTTTCAGCACGGCGCTATAATCTTGCAGCACGTGCAGTGTTAGATATTTCTCCCGTACCTATAAAAATAAAGAACCACACAGGAAAAACAGAGTTAAGATTTTCAGCGAAGCTTTTTGCAAAAAGGTAAAATTCACAGTTCCAACACTAGGGCTGGTTTCTGTGACCTCCGAAGGTTTTCCACATCTGTTCTCCTTTTTATTGTTCACACAGGAAGGAGGAAAAGACTGGACGTCTTGATTAGGCAGATTACGAGGGCAAAGTGATCTTAGAACATTTTGATTAAATGCTTAAAAGAAACAATGACAGTGTAAGAATGATGGGATATGAGTTGATGTGTATAACCTTGACATTTCTGGTTTTACAAAAGAACAAACACTTCAAAGAAAAAACATCTTGTGTAAGGACAAAGACTTCCTATCAGCTCGGACGTGGACTGATGGTTCTTTATTCTCCAGAGACTTCTTTGCTTCTTATGCACAAAGTGCAGAAATCATGAAACAGTTTCAAATGATGACATATTAAAAACTCTTACATGCAGCATTAGCATTTTAGCATGTCGTTGCGGTCTCCTGTTGGGGAACATTATGTCTTTCTTGTTAAAAGACAAGTGAACAAATCCAAAGCTGTGTGTCGACGTTGTTTCACGGAGAGTGGATCTGCAGCAGCAACACGTCGAACTTGTTGAGGTGCTTGAAACAACATCGTCCAAATGTCATGTCAGTGAATGTGGGTCATCCTCTCCTTAATACAGTGCAGTCCTCCTGTCCCATGAGCAGAAAAACACTCCCAAAGCATGATGCTTCCACCCCCATGCTTCACAGTAGGGATGGTGTTTTGGGATGGTACTCATCATTCTTCGTCCTCCAAACACGTCGAGTGGAATTAAGACCAAAAAGTTCTATTTTGGTCTCATCTGACCACATAACTTTCTCCCATGACTCCTCTGGATCATCCAAAAGGTCATGGTCAAACTAAAGACGGGCCTGGACGTGTGCTGATTTAAGCAGGGGAACCTTCCGTGCCATGCATGATTTTAAACTATGACGTCTTAGGGTATTACCCACAGTAACCTTGGAACCAGTGGTGCCAGCTCTCTTCAGGTCATGGACCAGCTCCTCCCGTGTAGTTCTGGGCTGATTCCTCACCTTTCTTAGGATCATTGATACGCAACGAGGTGAGATCTTGCATGGAGCCCCAGTTCGATGGAGATTGACAGTCATGTTTAGCTTCTTCCATTTTCTAATAATGCTTCAACAGTTGATCTTTTTTCACCAAGCTGCTTGGCAATTGCCCTGTAGCCCTTTCCAGCCTAGTGGAGGTCTACAATTTTGTCTCTGGTGTCTTTGGACAGCTCTTTGGTCTTAGCCATGTTAGTAGTTGGAGTCTTACTGACTGTGTGGGGTGGACAGGTGTCTTTATGCAGCTACCGACCTCAAACAGGTGCTTCTAATTTAGAATACCCAGTGGAGTGAAGGTGGACTTTTTAGAGGCGGACTGAGGGTGCATTCACACCAGCCCTGTTTAGTCCGCTTTAATCGAACTCTAGCTCCTTCTCCTAGAAAGTCCAGTTCGTTTAGGGAGGTGTGAACGCGCCATCGAACTCTGTCACGGAACAAAAAGGCGAACTCTGGCCCGGGCCTAAACCTAGGTCTCAGTCCGGTAGAAGAGAACTCCAGCGCTGTTCGAGTACAGTGTGAATGTAAACAGACCGGGCCCCGCTCCACAGGACAAACAAACACGCATTTCTCTGACCTTATATGGAGCCGTCAGCTGCCTAGTGTGGAAAAACAATATTCTCCATGTTCTTCTGTCTCATCTTCTGCTCATGCTAAGTCCATTTTAGAAAAATGACAAAATATAACTCCTAAAACTGCTAAAACTTGATGCCACTTCGTTTTTGTTTTTATTTACAGAAGAAGAAGAAGACGTGTCTTCAGAGGTTTTTGTGTCGTTTCTTTCAGTAGTTCTTGGTGCAGCGCCCCCACAGGCGAGCGGGGGAACAGGTTGGTTCAACAGGTTGACTCGACTGCACAGTGCAGTGTGAATGCAAACGCACCAGCTCAAATGTAAAGAAAAGGTCATGAACATTGGTCCCGAACCGAGTCTACCGGACTATCAGGTGTGAAAACGACCTAACAGGTCTTTGAGGGCCAGAACTGATGGCAGGTGTTCAAATACTTATTTGCAGCAGTAACACACAAATAAATTATTTTAAAAATCTTACATCATCCTTTCTGGATATTTTTTTAGATTATGTCTCTCACAGTGGACATGCACCTAACATGAAAATTTCAGACCCCTCCATGATTTCTAAGTGGGAGAACTTGCAAAGTTGCAGCGTGTTCACTTATTTTCTTCACTGTGTGTGTGTTCATGTGCGTGTGTGTGCGTGCGTGCGTATATATACACACACACAGGAGGGCACTTCTTAATTGTCTGGATTTCTATTTCTAGAGACAAAACTTGTCTCTGCAACTCTTGAATTCTCCGTGCAGCATCATCCAGTTGACGTAAGAGAAAAAGCAAAAACCTTAATAGACATCACTTATCCACCCATCAATTTCCTGTTCAGTTATGAATTATCTTTTGTATTACAGCATTTCTTCTATTACTTACTCATTACTGCCTCGACAGCTCTGTGGTGAAGATATATACATGTTTCTTCAAAGGGGAAAACACAAAATATGCAATATTTTCCATAAAGTATAAAGCTGCTTCTCCTCACTCAAATCATTTCATGTATTTACTGACTATCTCCCCACCATTAGCAAGTCCAAAATGTTCTGAATACAACCTCGAGATGGTTACACTGTTATTCACTGCCATATATTTTTTTCTACAAATTTTCTGCAATACTAACCCGGAGAAGGACGGCAGGCAGTGTCGTGATCTTTTGCCACTGCACCTGCAGGCAATGAGTCCTCTGTGCAGTTCCCAGGGTCAGACACCTCCTGGGAGTCATCCTGGAAACTCAAATACTGTGTTTTTTGTTTATTATCAGAACAACGTGGCACTTTATTTGTTTATTTTTACGTAGTTTTGGCTTCCAGCTCATGAAACCCACGAAAACAAGAATTAAAAAAATTGAATACTGTGAAGAAATCAGCCCGCACTACTTCTCAGTTTTTGCAGGAAAAAAGAAAGAAATTAGGATCACAACAAACGAATCAAAATGTGGTACTTTCAAAACGATACGTCAATCTTCAATACTTGGTTGTGAATCCCTTTGCCTTAATCACTGCCTCGATGCGACGTGGCATTGAGGCTGTATTGAGTACTGTATGTGCAGATGTCTGTTTTGTGCAACACAGATTATAAAATGTTGAATGTTGTCTCTTTTTCTGTTTGCTCGCACAGCATCAGCATCTCATCCGAAGCCTAACCTGACTGATGGGTTTCCAATAAGAGACGATGAAGATCTCGTTTTGATCGGGCTGTCTGTCTGCTGGGGATCAAGAGGTGCATGTTACATCTGTCTGCAGCAGGAGCAGAGCAAAGGTACTGACAAACAACGGATACTAATACATGTAGGGTCACACTTTTCAAAGGGTTTCTGTTGTTAAAGTTGTCTGGTACCCATCAGGTCTGAGCTCCAGCCTGGCTCCTCCTCCACTGGATGATGAGCTGCCAGTAAGTCAAAGGCTGGAGCAGGTGAAGGTCTGTCTCAGCCACCAATCAGCTGGTGACAAAGGAAGAGTGGTTGTCACATATGACATCATCAAGGTGTACAAGACGTTCTGAGCTGTGGTATCAGCTTGGAGGGAACCTGTGAAGACCTGAAGGTGAGAAAACAAAGAATTAGATTACATGTGCACTCCATCCTTCCATCTAATACTTATAGAAGGTAATCCTTTATATATTTCTTACAGCTTTAGATATATTCAGCAACTTTCTTTTAAATTAGAAAATTTATTCAAAGAAATAATGGACTAAAATTTAGTTTTTGCCAGCAGCGTGATGACCAACAAGAAACTCCATAAAATAGTTGTCTTCATGGGAATGTCTTCAATAGCTTCCTATCACCTGTAGAAAAATAAGGTTGTGAGCACCTAAGGATCCTACAAGAAATTAATAAAATCCAAAGGTTTTCTTGAAACAGAGGGAGCTGAAAGTTGAAATTTACAAAATGTTGGTTAAAAACATGAAGCTCAGATCAGAACTACAGTTTGAAACTGGACATTATAGACAGAGTTGTTTGAGCAAAGTAACCGCAGACATGTTTACTGCAGACAGACAATAAAGTTAAATAGAAGAACTTTACAACAATAAAGCATGGTGGTAGAAGTGTTATGGTCTGCAGTGATTTGCTGTCTTTCAGACGGGGCTGCTTCCACTGAATTCTGCATCATATGCAATAACTTTAAAAAGAAGAAATACTAAGTTACCAAAAATACATAAATCAAAGCCCAGATTAAACAAACTTGTCCTGTGGAGATTTAAAATAAACACTGAAGGGTCTTATTGTTTACTAAACAATGTTATAAACTTGTTGACAGGTATTTTTGTTCATTAAATAAGTGAAAAACTACTTTTCTAGCTTATTGTGTTTAAATATTTATCATTCATCTGTGGGTAGTTACTGTTCAGAGGATCAAATGTTTGAATGTTCAAAAAAATATTTAAGAATAGTGAACTTTTGTGAGATGTGCTTAATTTTAATAAGACTACATAATCATTAGATAAAATAAATAATTATGGGGATTATATTAGATTCCACGATACTTTAACATCTTCACATTCACACTCTGAAACATGTACAGTATTTCCTCTGCAGTGCTCTCAATGATCAGTACTTTCTGCATTTTGAATCAATTTGATCATCTTTAGCTACAAGCCATAGGATGAAGGCATCAGAGAAAAACGTGACTGATTTCTTCCACAGGTTGCATGCTGGCTGCTGGACCCTAGCAGTGAGGAGAGGACACTTCCAAACATGGTGACTGTCTATTGTCCTGAAGAGTTACCCCTGCTGGACGGTCTGGGGAGTACCCTTTCACACTGTCCTAGCATCAGGGCAGCGACCAAGAGTGTGTTCATACACACTGTGATGAACCAACTCACTGGCCTGTTGGAGAAAGATGGCACACTAGGTATAATAATAATAATATTAATAATAATAATAATAATAATACATTTTGTTTGAAGGCGCCTTTCAAATCACTCAAGGTCACCGAACAAGAAATACAAAGATAAAAACAATAAAAGACAGATATTCATAAAATCAAACACAATTAATGGTAGAAAACATAATGACATTAAACAGAATAAGCAAGTTTGAAAAAAGTGAGTTTTAAGGTTAGATTTTAATAAGGGCAGAGAATCTGAATCCAGCCATCCATCCATTTTCTTCCGCTTATCTGGGTTCGGGTCGTGGGGTAGCAGCTTAAGTAGGGAGGCTCAGACTTCCCTCTCCCCAGCCACTTGGGCCAGCTCTTCCGGGGGATTCCCGAGGCGTTCCTAGGCCAGCCGAGAAACATAGTCCCTCCAGCATGTCCTTGGTCTTCCTCTGGGTCTCCTCCCGGTGGGACGTGTCCAGAACACCTCACCAGGGAGGCATGCAGGAGACATCCTAACCAGCCACCTCAACTGGCTCCTCCTGACGTGGAGAAGCAGCGGCTCTACTCTTGAGTCCCTCCTGGATGACCGAGCTTCTCACCTTATCTCTAAGGGAGAGCCCAGACACCCTGCGGAGAAAACTCATTTCGGCCACTTGTATCCTAGATCTCGTTTTTTTGGTCACAACCCAAAGCTCATGACCATAGATGAGGGTAAGAATCTAGATTGATTGGTAAATTGATATCTTCGCCTTTTGACTCAGCTGTCTCTTCACCACGACAGACTTGTACAGCGCCCGCTTCACTGCAGACACTGCACCTATCCGCCTATCGATCTCTCGCTCCATTTTTCGCTCATTCGTGAACAAGACCCCAAGATACTTGAACTCCTCCACTTGGGGCAGGACCTCCTCCCCGACCCGGAGAGGGCACTCTACCCTTTTCCGGCTCAAGACCATGGCCTCGGATTTGGAGGATCTGATCTTCATCCCAGCTGCGTCACACTCGGCTGCGAACCGCTCCAGCGAAAGCTGTAGATCACAACTTGATGAAGCCATTAGGATCACATCATCTGCACAAAGCAGAGACACGATCCTAAGGCCACCAAAACGGATACCCTAAACACCTTGGCTGTACCTAGAAATGCTGTCCATAAAAGTTATGAACAGAATCGGAGACAAAGGGTAACCTTGGCAGAGTCCAACTCTCACCAGGAACGAGCCCGATTTACTGCCGGGAATGTGGACCAAGCTCTGACACCGGTCATATAGGGACCTAACAGCCAGTATCAAAGGGCCTGGTACCCCATACTCCCGGAGTACCTCCCACAGGGTTCCCCGAGGGACGCGGTGGAACGCCTTCTCCAAGTCCACAAAGCACATATAGACTGGTTGGGCAAACTCCCACGCACACTCCAGGATCCTGCTGAGGGTGTAGAGCTGGTCCATTGTTCTACGACCAGGATGAAAACCGCACTGCTCCTCGTGAATCCGAGGTTCAACTATCCAACTGACCCTCCTCTCCAGAACTCCCGAATAGACCTTACCGGGGGGCTTAAGAGCGTGATCCCCCTGTAGTTGGAACACACTAAACGGTCCCCCTTTTTGAATAGAGGGACCACCACCCCGGTCTGCCAATCCAGAGGAACTTCCCCCGATGTCCACACAATAATGCAGAGTCGTGTAAGCCAACACAATCTTACAATATCCAGAGCTTTAAGGAACTCCAGGCGACTCTCAACCACCCCTGGGGCCCTGCCACCAAGGAGCTTTTTATCCACCTCGGTGACCTCAGCACCAGAGATTGGCGAGTCTGACCCAAAGTCCCCAGGCTCTGCTTCCTCAGTGGAAGACGTGCCGGTGGGATTGAAGAGGTCTTCAAAGTACTCTGCCCACCGACCCACGACATCCCGAGTTGAGGTCAGCAGCACACCACCTCTACTATAAACAGTGTTGGTGGTGTACCACTTTCCCCCCCGAGATGCCAGATGTGGACCAGAATCACCTCGAAGCCGTGCGGAAGTCATTCTCCATGACCTCTCCGAACTCCTCCCATGCCTGAGTTTTTGCCTCAGCAACCACCTGAGCCGCATGTTGTTTGAACTGCCGGTACCCATCAGCGACTTCCGGGGTCCCACAGGCCAAAAAGGCCCGATAGGACTCCTTCTTCAGCCTGACAGCCTCCCTCACCGCCGGTGTCCACTACCTGGTTCGAGGGTTGCCACCGCGACAGGCACAGACAACCTTGCAGCCGCAGCTCCGGTAAGCCGCCTCGACAATAGAGGCACGGAACATGGCCCACTCGGATTCGATGTCCCCTACCTCCCCCGGAACATGTTCAAAGTTCTCCCAGAGGTGGGAGTTAAATCTCCGTCTCACAGGAGACTGCCAGACATTTCCAGCAAACCCTCACAATACGTTTGGGCCTGCCAGGTTTGACGGACATCCTCCCCAACCATCGGAGCCAACTCACCACCAGGTAGTGGTCAGTGGACAGCTCCACCCCTCTCTTCACCCGAGTGTCCAAGACATGTGGCCGCAGATCAGATGAGACGATAAAGTCGATCATTGAACTGCGGCTTAGGGTGTCCTGGTGCCGAGAGCACATATGGACACCCTTATGCTTGAACATGGTGTTTGTTATGGACAATCCATGACAAGCACAGAAGTCCAATAACAGAACACCACTCGGGTTCAGATCAGGGGGGCCATTCCTCCCAACCACACCCCTCCAGGTCTCACTGTCATTGCCCACGTGATCATTGAAGTCCCCCAGCAGAACAAGGGAGAATCTGAATTACAACCGTATATAACCAGTCTCTCTACAGCTCTGCTGAGAACTAGATGCTGCCGAGTGAGAAAGGGGAATTTTATATATACTCTGTCTGTCTGTTGGTCTGTCCGTCCAACCACATTTCCTTTTTTCCTTTTTGGTGAGTGGTTGCATCTAGGAGTAAGGAAGTTTCGTTTAAAATATTGGGTTGACACATTAAAATCCAAGATGGCCACTGCCATATATTTATGTATACCAGCCACCCCTATCATTTAAAGAAACTATCCTTTCTATTTTTTATATTGATTGAAAGCAGTTTCCTCAAATGACTGGGGTGGACAAAGATTTATCTATGGCAGCCAAGGCCACCATTGGCCACCCCCTGGCTCTGCCACTGCACCTTGTGGTGGATAAAATTGCTTCCTCCACTTGCCAGGATTGATGCTCACTGCCTCAGACAAGAAAGAAAACTCCCTCTGTTCTTCTCCATGGTGTAACGCCTGCCCACTTGAATATCTCACTCCAAAAACATTAAAGTTTACTTACATCCCCTGCTCACTTCCAGTCCAGAAAAACACTCATCTCAAAAACTACAAACATTCACTGTTCAAATCCTTCAATGTACTGTACTGCTTGTGGACTGTTTTTGGAGTATTGAATGTTTCTGTCAGATTTATTCAGGAATATAGAGATGCCCTCCCAGGTTTGTCTGGCCCTGTTGGAGCTGAAATGAGTTGGTTTCAGTGTGGACGAGTG